CAGATGGTTGGTCCTGCCTCTTCCTACCAGAGGAATACAGAGAATGAGTTAGGGATGCACACATCACCGACTCCACCATTGATGCACCAGCCACATCCTCTGTAGGATGAAGAGGACCTTTGCCAGTCCTTACTGGACTTGCAGGGTCATTGCCAGGAACACTTAGAACCCACTGCCATATGGGACCCTGTCTCTAGTTAATGGAACCTGTATCCCAAAGCCAGCAATAATGCAGACATTATTTCAGAATCAAAAGTTAAAAAAAAAAAGAATGCCTATGATAAGGGTCAGCCTCTTTCAGGATAGAATGCCAAGACTGGTTGTAGCCTAGGTGTTAAGTCATTTTTTTGTTGGTACAACCAAAATATCTGACAAGAAAAATTTAGTGGACTATATTTGGGACTATATTTGGGACTCACAGTATCAGAGGTTCAGTCCATGGTCATCCAAATCCATTGCTTTGGGTCAGAGGTGAGAACTGATATCGTGAAAGAGGTCATGGCAGGGAATAGCTGCTCAGCTCCTGACAGCCAGGAAGAAGGAAGAGGAAAAGGAGGAGGATGAGGAGGAAGAGGAGGGGGAAGAGGGAGAGGGGGGAGGGGGAGGAGAGGGGGAGGGGGAGAGGGGATGAAGAAAAGTGAGAATGATCAAGGCTCCAAGAACAAAATATAAATCCCAAGTCTGGTTTCCTTTGATTGTTCTGTTTTTTGTTTGTTTGTTTTGTTTTGTTTTTTTGTTTTTTGTTTTTGTGGTGCTGGGGATTAAACCCAGGACCTTGTGCATGTGAGATTAAAAAAAAAAAGGTAAAAAAAATTTAGAGCTGAAATAAAAACTGTTGATTTCTTATCAAACTTTTCCTTTTTTTTTTTTTTTTGAGCGGGGTCTAATAGTACACTATAAATTTGAGATCAGTAAGCTATTTTATGAATAAATGCACAGAATAAAACTAAAATAAAATAAACCCCAAGTCACATACCCAGTAACTGACTTGCTCCAGCTCTGCCCTCCCTGCCTACAGTTACCATCCATTACTTCACTCAGATTGTTAATTCATTGAATGAATCAATGCACCGATTAGGACACAGCTCTTGTAATCTGATCACCTGACCTCTGAACAGTCCTGCATTTTTCACTCATGAGCTTTCTGGAGACACCTCATATTCAAATTATAACAGCACATATGTTTGTAAAATATGCTTGTTTATTCATTCATTTATTTATAAGTCTAAATTATCTCAGACTTTTAATACATAGAAGTTATTTTAAAAGTACACCATCATTTTCTGCTAAAAGGTAATACTGTGATAAAATCAGAAAGAAAATAACTCATTACCAAGGGGAATGTGTACTTTCATGTAGGCACAGAACTGGGTGTGCATGCCTGTATGCATCAGCCACAGAACAACTCACTCTGGGGGAAAAATTAAAATGAGGAAATGAATCCAAACAATCTCAAACAGCAGGTAAGACCATCCTGAATTTCATGGGCCATTAGGGTTTGGATCTGGAATGTCCCTCAAAGTCTCACGTGTGGGAGGCTTGTTCCCAGTGCAGCAAGGTACAGAGCTGGGAACTGTGGGCAGAGATTGCATCATGAGGGCTCTGAATCCATTGGGGGATTTGTGTCCTGGTGAATTATTGGAAGATTGTGGAAACTGTGGGAAATGGAACCTACTTGAAAGGAGTGGGTTCTTGGGGACTGTATCTTGTCCCTGGCCCCTTCCTCTCACCCTACATTCTGGATGCCATGCGGCGAGAAGGTTTCTTCTGCCCAAAGCAATGGAGCTGGGAAATCTTGGACTGAAAACTCTGAAAATCTGAGCCAAAATAAACTTTCCTCCTTGAAGTTGTTTTGGTCAGTTAATTTGGTCACAGAGACAAAAAAAATGACTAATACACGATCCCTTGGAGGGGTTTCACAGGATTGGTGCTTCAGGAGGGTGCAGGTCTAGTGGTGCCGGGAAAGAATGAGCTGTTGTTGCAGGTCCCCGAGAATGTGGGAGGGCAAAAGGACATTGCTTTCAGCTTGAGAAAGACATCAGTGCCCTTTACCTATAACACATACATACTGGAAATCAGTACCAATGTAGGAACTGTGTAAATAACATTTTATCTTTCATCATTTTATTCTTTGGCATTATTCTAGCTTCATGATATAATTTTCTCTGTCACTGTCTTTAAAGATAATAAATTACAAATTTTTGAAAATCTAAACAACTCACACCAGTTCTTAATACTCTTCTTCCACATGCATTAAACTAATGCTATCTTTTTACTTTTTTTAGGTTGATATTATTCATTTATGTTTTCACAAAAAGAGTGTAGCTGTTTTAGTCAGCTTTTCCACTTCTCTGACTAGAAGCCCTGACCAGAACAATTGTACAGGAGGAAAAGTTATTTGGGGGCTCACAGTTTCAGAGATCTCAGTCCATAGTAAGCTGGCTCCATCCCTCAGGGCTCAAGGTGAGGCAGGACATCACGGCAGAAGAGTGTGGGGGCGAAAAGCAGCCCAGATGATGATCAGGAAGCAGAGAGACTCCACTTGCCAGATATGAATTATATACCCCAGATCCACGCCCCCAGTGACCCACCTCCTCAGCCACATCCTGCTGCCTGTAGTCACCATCAGTTAATCCCATCAGGGGACTGATTCACTGGTTGGGCTGAGGCTCTCATGGCGCAGTCGTTCTCCTCTGAACCTCCTTGTACTGTCTCACCCGGGAGCTCTGGGGGACACCATCACAGTGGCTCACTCAGCAGGTGTGCACTCTTGGCAAAGTAGACTGCTCTACACTGACTTCAGGTAGAACCACTGCACTTCTGAGGTATTGGTTCATCCCTACGGATGCCACCATGGACAGAGCTCACTCCATCCACCTCTGATGGCGGGATATCCCCTGGCACTGCAGGCAGATCAGAGGGTGAGGTCTTGGATCTTTCCTCCAGGGAGCCTGGTCCCCCATCACTCTGGGCATTCTGGGGCTGGGAGCTGGCTCAGTTCCGGGAACTACGGTCTGGAACCACTTCCAACTTCATCATAGCCCAGGTTTTCTACAAAGAAGAGCTGCATGCCAAGACTAGCTTCTGGGAGGATGCAAGCCCAAGCAGGGGAGGTGAGGCCAGGACGAGAGCGGAGCAGGGCCGCGAGGGAGCCGGCACCAACCCCAGCAGGTTCGGGGCTCACTCCACTTGTTCCTAGAGCCCCAACGTTCAGATGGCATCATCCTAAAGCCCAGGGACCTCCCAAGAGCATTTTTGTAATATTAGAAAACTATAAATCTCTACCAATAGGAAATTAATCCATAGTCAATTGCAGTTACACATAATGAAATGTTACACAACCTTTAAAAAGGTTAACATGGATATGTTTATTTAAGAAAATGTTAATGGGATTGTAAAAGTAAGTTGCAGAGATGTATATATTGTATTATCCCATATGTGTATGAGAAACTGGGTGTTAAAATACTTTTGTATTTTTCTAAAATCTCAAAAAACAAAGGATATTAACAAATGTGAGCAATCTGAGGGGTGGGGATAATTTGGCAATGCTTGTTAATTCAGATCTAAAAACAGATGACGAAGTGATGGTAAGATGTAAACTCGGTTATAGCACTTAGAAAGTTCAAACTGTCAGAAGGCATTTCAGAAAGTATATAACTAAGAGTTCCGAGATTTCATTCCAGAGAAGCATATCCAAAGCTGCCTTATGCTATTAAAAATGATTTTCAATTAATTTTGTTAATTTAAGATGCAAACAAGAGAAAGCATAAGCCAAAGCTTTCACATTCTAAGAAAATCTTTGGAGAATACACAGAAACTACAGAATCCAATCAGATTTGCAGAATGGATGTTGGGAAACAGGGTTTTTCCTCTCCATTGAAGTATTTTCGAGATTGAAGTTGTAATACCAGTAATGAATTGGTGATGCTTTTCTTTAATAAGTGGAGAAATAAGTGAAGATGGATAGGTAGGTAGATGAGGCAGGGAGACAGATATTTAGAGGTGATACAGTATTTACATTGGGTATCTGAAAAGCTAGGCTACATCTCAGAATCAGATATTCAATGAAACTATAACTTTGGGAAAGTTATTCTATAGTTTTAAGATAATGCTCAAAATACCTAGTACTCATTATTATAATAAATTTTTTAAAGTAAATTCACAATCCAATATATTGTCAGTGCTAAGCTTCGAGTGGGGGATTACAGGTGACTTTGTTTCCTTTTGCTTTATTTACTTTCATGTTTTCTAAAGAGAACTTGCACGCTAAATAATATATGTTTGAATCATAAAAACAAATAATGAAAGTATTCTGATGTTAAGTCAAGGTCTGGAAGCAATGACAGGAATATTCTCATTATTTATTCACATATGAGCATACCATTTCCATGTCCTAGGGTATTTCTTGTGAACTGATGAGGAATAGGTCATTTTTAACATGACTCACAAAACACCTGCTAACTACTTTCAAGGACTCAAGATCTAGTTTAGTAATTTACAAGGTATATTTTACTTGCAACCATATCTTTGAGATTCTGTTGGGGAAATCTCTTAGTCTGAAAGATAACAGATTTACTCATTAAAATACTTAAATCCAAATGTAATTCATACCCAGCTGTCAGGCAGAGATCAAATGCATTAACTTCATCAATGATAAAACAGTAATCAGAGCCAGGACTATTACCCTTATAGTTCTCAAAGGGTTGAAAGTCCAAGGGACATCCTGTATAATAAGCTCCCGAGTCCAAAGGCTGGGAGGATGGAGTTCTGGTGTCCAGGGCAGGAGAAGAGAGAGAAAAAAAAAACTTGCATTTTCTCTGACGTTTTTGGTCTATCCAGGCCTGGCCAATTGGATGGTATCCTCTCATTTTGAAGGCAGAGCTTCCCCACCTCAGGCCACCAACTCACATGCCCATCTCCCCTGGAAACGCCCTCCCAAGCACACCAGGAGCAGTGCCTTGCCAGAGCTCTAGGTATTGCCTAATCCAGCAGAGCTGATCCTGAACTGAAGCCCCACACATCTGCACATTAGCCAGGTTGGGAGCCAGCTTTGCTCTCCCTCACCTCAGCAGCTCGGTGCTCTGCGTTCAGACCCCTCGGATGGCCTCAAGCCCTCCCGTGACGGGGCCACTGTCTGCCTCTCCTGCCTGATCCTGTGCCCCTCCACGCCTCACCAGTCTCACAGCCACGCTGGCCTTGTGTCTCTTTGCGTGGTAAGTTCCTTCTTGCCCCAGACAGGCTGTTTCACCACCTGGAAACCACGTCCAGGCTCTGACCGGATCAGTCCCTTCTGCCTTCCAGACCTTGGAACAGGGACCTCTCTTGTCCACTGTCCCACCCCACCTCATCACAAAATAAGGATAAGAATTCAAGTGTGCTGATCATTCCTTCCACATCCTCTTATGCTCCTGCTACAAACAAATGGGTTTTAAACTGTGCATTTATGCCCTACAAGGGAGGGGTTTATGCCATCAGTTTTGTGAAAGGTGACAGATACTTTTAATAGAATCAGAAAACACTGGAAGAGAACAAAAGGCTTTAGAGTGTGCCTCACTCCATAAAAATAAGTATTGTTGGGTGAAATTTTAATCCCATTTCTGTGTGTGTGTGTCGAATCCTGATGCAAAAGACATTCTGCTTCTCGGCTGAAGATCAAATGTGTTTGATAGTTACTCTGTGAACCTGTAGATCCCATCTTTCATCTCATCTGTTACTGTCTATCACGATACCTCTCTTGTACAATAACTGTGAGAATCAAATGGGTAAATATTCAGAAGGTGCTTAGAAGAGTTGCTGGCACTTTGGAAGCACCATGTGGGGTATTATGTAACATTATATTTATTTATATGTATATATTTTTGTTCACTAATTTATCTGCAATGCCTGTTTTAGGGCCTGGAACACTAGCCCTGTCCATAAAGATCGGTTGGATAAAGAGAAAGGACCCTGTGACATAAGCCACCTTGTGTCTTCTTCTGGGTGGGAGGATGAGGCTTTCCCATTATCAAGTCTTTCCACTTCCTGCTCCACCATGGTTCTTGACTCAGGGTCACCTGGGCAATACAACTATGTTTCCTTGTCTGGCAACCTCTGAGCCTTGCATCAGAAGGTTAAGTAAAGGCAACCTAAGATCCAGTATGAGAACTTCATTCATGAGTGAAATCACATTTTTCTCCATCCTCTTTCAGAAAAATGTTTCTTTGACACCAAACTCTTGGCAGCTGCAGGAAGAGGCCAACATGCCTAATGTAGGCACAACTGAACTGTTCCTTCTACTCTGAGATCTCCATCACCCACATCTGAGGGCATCCAAGTGAGGGCAGTGTGGGTGATTAGCATTGTTAGAACTAGCCTCTCATCCAGAAGGACGGATTAAATTTCCACTCGTCCAAAGTCAGGAGTATCTCCTGAGCCTGTTATCATTAGAAACAAGCTAATGGTTCCAGTTCTGAAGGTGGCTGATGCAGGAACAATCATACATACATCACACCCCGCTTTGTTCCCAGGCCACCTTGCAGGGTAACATAACCTCAGAACACACCACTGTCTAAATAAGGAAATAACTGGTGGGAATCACATGAAGGCAGATTTGGAGTTAATATGGAACCTGAGCTGGCCAATGGGACTGTAATCTATGGAACTGGCTGCTAGCATAGTGGAGAATGTCCATCATTGGAGGTGTTCGCCTGAGGACCACATGACCACTTCCCTCCATGAGAGCATTTGCAGGACTCTCCACAGGGAATTCCAAGGTCCCTTCTCTTCTTGCGTTTCCCAGTGCTACAGTCACTCCAACAACCTCATCTTGACACTTGCCATCCTCCTGCAAGAATATTGGTCTCCAACACTCATCTGCATGATGTGACGGCATCCCACGCTCTTGTTGTGCTCAGTCTTGATTGGCTGCACCAGGTGGCTGCTGCATTTACCCACATTGGAGGTCAAAGGAAGGAGGCTTCACTCATGATGATGTGAGGATGTTCCAATGCACCCTGGGCTCGATGAAGAAATTGGCAGTGTACTTGGAAAAATATCAGCCTTTTCCAGAGTGAAAATTCAAGTGTAAAATCTGCTTCTACACCAGAGCCTGCCACTCTTGTTTTGGGGTGGGAATAATTATTATATCTTAGATTTTTCTCTTTAGAAAAAAGTTCAAGTAGGATTTGCACAAAATTGTAAGAACATTTTTAAAGATTTTCTGATGTATAAAGAATATGACTTTGAATGTGTGGATCTGGATAAAGGATATAATTTTGTGTAGGATGGTGACTTCAAATGAAAAGGTAGCGTTGTTATTTTAAAAAGGAGTGGAATGTGCTTCATGGAAAACCAAGCCTATACTAGGTAGTTTACTGTTTGCAAGTTTCATGTGTATCAAAAACAAATGTTTCTCAGGAAAGAATTATATGTTTATTGTTTTCACTACAGGTACAGTCTTCAGACAGCTTCCCTCGGTCACTCAGTAAATGCTTACTGCATAAGGAATTACAGCAAGAATATTTATGTCTATTGCTTTTAAGTTTTTGGAAGATGGGAGAGATGGAGGGATGATTGGTGTGCATACATGGATGTTCGCTAAAATGTCCAAACTATTTTAGGGTTTGTGGATGGAATTAACTCTTATTTAATGTTTTTTGAAAGAACTGTCAGAGAAGAGGTTGAAGAGATTGTTTTCTTTTCACTGGGTGTTTTGTTTTGTTTTATTTTGTTTGCATTGCAATTCTTATTACATATATATAACACAATTTTTCATATCTCTGTTTGTATATAAAGTATGTTGACACCCAATTTGTGTCTTCATACATGTACTTTGATTAATGACTGGGAACATTTTAAAGAGAAGAAATACTGAGACCTTTCTGGTTTTATTTACTCAAAGTTATACTGAAATGTTATTTCAAATTGAATTAAAATTTCACAAGAATTAGGCACATGCTCTTGAAGACAGATTATGTGAATGTGAAATATGATGAAAAGGGAATGAAGAAATGCACGATTCAGATTCATGTATTTAAAAAGGAAGGAATTGTTTTGACCTTGAACTGGATGTGGCACCCCTCCTGTAAATTAAATCCTTAGAAATGAGCTTCTGGGAAAATTGCATTCTAGAATATGTTAATAAATTATTAGAATATGTGAAAAGCCACATGAACATCATCGCTGTCATATTTTTACTACGTGAGAAATTGAAACAGGAATTTTAAAAGCATGCGATTTAAACCTAACAAGCCACATGTGAACATAAATAACACATTTTAATAAAAATTTATATTTTTCCACTCTCCCCATCTCAGGAATGAGTGGCATTGTTTTAAATTTTTGCACATCTAGTGTCTGGTTAAGACAAGGAGCTGGATCCACAGCTCTGCTTCTGCATTCAATCATAGGTCATTTGGGTTGACGGGTCTAAGAAAATTTGGTCTCATAGGGATACAGAGCTGCAAAAGGCAGGGAAATTTTCATAGCTTTCCCAGGTAATTGTGAATAGTCTTCTTTCTTCCTATACCGGGACTTGAAAGCAGTAGTTCCTTAAAGGTTAATTGCAATGTGAACTCTGAAACCACTACAACACACTTTTTGTACTATGCACGCTGACGACAGAATGAGATTGGAAGGGCAAACACTAATTTTGGACTAGAAAGAGAAGTTTATAGGCCCTGGTTTTCTGCATACCATGCTTTGAGAACTGCTGTTTTAGCCCACCATTTTGGAGTTGTTGTTGGAAAGTAAAGCATAGAGAAGAGAAATTTTTAAAACATCTATGTTAACAAACTCGCTAGGCTTTTGGGGGAGATAAAAAATGAGTGCAAAAATTAATATCACATTTAATACAGAAAGATAAAAAGCTTAACAATAATCAAGGCAACCTTTAAAAAGAATACATTGACAGGAATAAATGCCACATTTTAAGAGCTGTTATAAAGCTATCAAATGATCCAGGGGACATGCTTCTGCCTTCACCCAGACAGATCAATGAAACTGAGCAGAGTCCACAGGTAGATCTCTAGGTCGGCAGAAAAATGAATTTTGACGAGTGTGCCAGTGTAACTCAAGGGGAAAGGAAAATCTTTTAAATAAATGATCCTGGAACAAGTGGATATCTGTATGAAAAAAAAAGAAAGAAAGAAAGAAAGAAATTTGATCTACACATAACAGGATGATTAACAGAAACTGAAGGAGTATCTGTGAAATTTAAAAAATGATTATAAAGTTTCTACCAAAAAACAGGGCAATATTTTTTGTGACAATTATAGTCAAACACTTCTTATTTATTGCAAAAGACCTAACATAGAGGAAAAATGTATGTTGGATTTTATGAATAAAAATGAACAAAATTAATTTCATGAATTAAAAATGTCTACTGACAATAAATAAAAATAAAAATTATAGGTTAGGTGGGATATTCATAATCTATATGTGTAAGAAAGGATTTGAAAGCCAATTATATAAAGAACTTTATATTTCAAAAACAGAAGGACGAACAATCCAGTTAAAAATTATCAGGAGCTGGATTAAAAAAAAAAAAAACCGGAGAGACGTAAGAAAGGCCATAGAAGACATGGAACAATGTTTGACATTGTTAGTATTCAAGGAAGTGCAAATTAAAAGTAGGAGATATGGTTCTACAGCTCCTGGTGTGGTTTAAACCCAGATGACTTCCAGTATGAACCTGCAGGGTCCCACAGTGGGGCGAGGCATCTTATGCTTGCTGATGGGACTGTAAAATGGTACAGCCAGTGTAGAAAACTGCTTGGAATTTCTCATAAAATTAAATGCACACCTACCTCATGTTTTAGCAATTCAACAGTAAGGTATTTCTGTTTCCAAAATGAAAATGACCCCACACACAGATTTATTCAAAAATGTTTTTTGAAGCTTTATCCATAATTGTAAATATTTTAAACAATCCAAATCTCCACCCATATATACTATAAGTCTATGAATTATAGTAGATTCCTAGAATGGCATAATACTCAGCAACAGAAGAAATAATTGAGGGATATTCACAGAACCGGTGAATTTCAAGAGTATCTTGCTTCATGAAGAACCCAGTGTCTGATGTGCATTGCATATTTCTGTTTTTTATGGAGTTCAAGAATAGATAAAGCTACTCTTTAGGCACATAACTCAGCATATTGGTTGTTCTGGATTTGGGAAAGGGAATATACTAGGAGACATGAAGGAACTTTCTAGGTTGTAGCCAGTATGCTACCCTGTTTGGAAATTGGTTTCATAGGGACACACATTTTAAAAACCTCATTCCAGAGTGTGTGTAAGATCTGAGCACTTTCCTATATGTAATTATGCCTCAATAGAAAGTATAAAAAATACATACTCTAATTATCACAACTCTTATGAATATTTTCTTAGTTTATTAAATGAGGTGTTCAATCAAATATGCATTTTGATTGCATTATGAATATGAAACATGTTGATTACCAATTCATATTCATTTGGAAACCTACAGGCAGAGGGGAATCTACTGTGTGTGACAGGAAGATGGACTTACCCAACCTTCAGCGTTTTCAATCTCTTGTCTATTAACATGGTAATTGCCTTTAATGACTTTGTTCTCCTCAGTGTAATCAGACAGGAAACTTTAGATGGAAAATGCATAAATTATTCTATCTCCTGACAGGAAAAGAATCCAAGCCTTTAATCCACTTCTATGCATTTTATTCTTCATGTTAGGACACTGTCTTTACAGTTGGACTTAACTGTCAAGCCCTCTGGACAGACGACGTGGTATCTGTTTGGGGCTCTACCAGGTGCCCAGTGCAGAGGACAGAGGACCATCCATGCTCCTGAAAGTCCTGCAGACCCATTGACTCTCTCTTCCCCTTTACACTATCACCCCATGACAGAAAAAAATCATTGGTTATAACAAATCTTATGGTTCTTTTTGGTTTACAAAATATAAAGCACTGAGAGCAAATATTGGGAGAAAGGGGAGAACACATCCTGGCCCCACACCCCAGAGATGTAGTTGAAGAGAATGACATTTAAGCTCATTCATCACTAAATTAGTGAATCTGTATCAGTGAATCACAACTGTCTAAACAATGAAAATCGGCCAGTGTCCTGAAGCCCTTCTAACTTGAACTTCCCTGGCTTCTTGCGAAGCCTACACCACCCACACTCTCACTCTTGAGGCAGCAAGGACCACTGCATTCCAATCCTCACCTAACATGGTGAGCCTGGCCAGGATCTGGGGAGGATGTCTGGGTGCGGTCCCTTCCAGAGCTAAGGTGGATGAAGAACCTGCAGATTTTGGTGGATCTTGCTTACAGTCAGGTCCCCTGAGCTGTGTGATAGTGAGATGGGCAACAAAGTTCAAGTCCCGTTGAGCTTTACAATACCTGTTCCTTTCACTTTAAACAGGTGGCCTCTGCTATTGCCTAGCCATCCAATGATTCCTGAGTTAACACAGAGGACGTTGTATTTGAATCTGAGTCACATTGTTCAAAATGCTGATTGTCAAGGGAACCCCTTGTGCAGGGTAACTTTAATGTCCAAATATTTTCAGAGGAACCCAGTGCAGATCTCCATTATGGGGGGGGGGCAGAATTAAGATCACACAAGTTGTAGAGCAAAGACTGACACCTGTTTAGAATACAAGTTTGGGGCAGGTACAAGCACAATGAGGGTTCAGATGTAAAAGCTAGAGTTAGAAACCCAGATGGACAACCCAGGCACATAACATTTCCAAACATCAGCTTCCTCATCTGTGAGATGGGATGTCTTATATATATTCCTGTCTTATATATTCAATTCATAGTAACTTTCTTTTTTTTTTTTTTTTGAAGCTCAGAGTCGAAATATTGGTTTCTAGGCTGTTTGCTGATGTTTCTCAGTCTTTCTGAAGTTGGTGATAGCCTCTATTATTTGGACTCAGGTCCTGGATTATCTTCATCCCCTTAGATGCTAGAAACTTCTCATTATAAAAATTTGGGGGGTGGGTAAGTGCTGGTATTTAATCTTCTAGGTGCCTTTCTTTGATCTCATTCTGCTGAATTCTCGGTTTGTATATATGAGTGTCCATCCTGGGAGAGATAGTGGGTGCATAAGTAAAAAAGAGAAACACACATTGTTTCTGTGCCATGGGAGGATTTCTTGTTGCAACTAAAACTAGAAGAGAAGATGTCTTGCTTGCTTTAGCAGAGGAGTGGAAGGTCTACAAGCCAGGCCCCAGGGTGCAGTACCCCTCTGCCTCCTGAGGACCCAGTTCACCCCTATTTCCTCATGTACAGAGTACGGGGCTGATGCTGATTCTCGTTGAGGTCCTGGGGGTCCACCACCAGCAGCATGGTGGCTCCCCGTCCCCCCTGCACGATGCTCCTTCACTCTCCTCCCCATCTAAGATGAAGTTTGGGGTTTGGGATGGACAGACAATTCCACGTGAAAATTTCTCAAGAACTTCCTTTCTTTAGAGATTCAGTGGAAAGCATATTTCTTTCCTCAATGAAGGTAGTCAGGAAAAGAATCCATTTTTTTCCCTGATTTTTGCATGTTCTGATTTTAATTGTTGTATTAGTCATAGCTAATAATTGTAAGAAATTACTTTAAAAAAAGACAATTGTGTTTTGTCACAGTCCTGGAACTTCCAAGCCTCCCATGAGTTAGAGTTAGAGTCAAGGTGTTGTCAGGACAATATTCCTTCCAGAAGTACTGGGAAGAATTCACTCCCTGGCCTATGGCAGCTTCTAGGAGCCACTACAGTCTCCTGCCCCCAAAACCAGCCCTCTTGTTTTGACAGTCCTGCCTGTTATAAAGACCTATAATTAATTTGACCTTCCTGGATAATTCAGATTAATGTTTCCAACTCAAAACCTTCAGCTTAATCACACCTGCAAGGTCCCTTTGCTAAGCAAGGTAACATTCATAGGTCCTGAAGATTAGGAGCTAGCACATCTTTGGGAAGCAGTCATTTTGCCAGCCACAACTGGCTTTAAGCTTTGGATTTCACAGATCCACTGATTTTCCTATGACCAAGTCCTTATATCACCTACATGAGTATTATTTTTTTTCTCCAAGACTATCATCCAACCTTCATCTCTATTTTAGACCTTTGAGGGTGCATGTTTAACTTCATTTCTCAGGTCAGGATTCTTATATTGCAGGTGAATTTTGTCAAATATAATTGAA